TCTCTGACCTTTGTTGCTTTGTGCTTTTCCTCTCTTGTTGAAACCAATTCATTTCTTACCTCTCAAGTCTGTGAGAAGTTAAACTCTGGATTAGTCCATGTAGCACCAGATCAGTCTGTTGTATTTGCAGGGATCCCCATGGCAGGAAGGAGTGATTAATCTGACTCCATGTTCTCAGCAGGCTAATTTATTATTTTAAGATACTATATTATATTAAGGAATACTAAACTGTACTAAAGAATACAGAAAGGATACTCACAGAAGGCTAAAAAGATAAGAATGAAAACTCGTGACTCTCTCCAGAGTCTGACACAGCTTGGCACTGGTTGGCCAAAGAGTCAAAATAATTCACACCAGAATCCAATGAAACAATCACCTGTGGGTAAACAATCTCCAAACACATTCCAAAGAAGCAAAACACAGGAGAAGCAAATCAGATAATTGTTTTCCTTTTTCTCTGAGGCTTCTCAGCTTCCTAGAAGAAAAATCCTGGGCAAAGGGATTTTTCCAGAAAATATGAATGTGACATTAGTCCATAAGCACCAGTTTCATAGGGAAGGGTGGGAGAAGAAAGCTTGGTCATGAATTACATGGAATACATTGTGATTCAGCCCTAGATGACGCTTTGGTCCTCTGCTCAGGATCTTCCCCAGCAGTATCAGTGCAGGAGTTAAACAGCACTTGACAGATTTTTTGCTTCCCTACAGATAAACAGATGGACAGTTCAGTCAGTGATTGATACTTGATCTTCTGTGATACCTTTCTCAAATAAAAGTCCAATAAATCCACCCCTTCCCTTCCATGAAAGGCAAAGGAGAAAGGAAAAAGCTGCAGAATTCTTCCTAGTGCATTTTTGTTGTTCTTGTTCCTTTCCTTAGATCTTCTAGGTGGTGTTTTGCATCCTCTTTGCTGAGCCAATGTGATGCACAAGGAATCAGCCTTGGAGGGCTGGTATGTGGCAGCTGAACTTTAATTTCCTGGAGCTAATTGCAGTGATGAAGCTCACAAGCAGCTGCTTCTCACTGTAGATGTGTGTGGCTCCAGGAATGACTGCAGAGATAGCTAAACACGAGATGACATTTAGCACAGCAGAGAGTTTGTGAGATTTGAAATGGCAGGTGGAAAAAAACCAGTTAAAAATCCAGAAGGGTGGTTGCTATGGAAGTTGGGAAGATGATGTTAGCAAAATAACATCATGAAGAATTTTAAATAATTTTCCTTACAGAATCACTGAATTTTCCTTAATGGGAGCTCAGACTGATGGGAAAAGGGAAGAAAATTCCAGAATCAAATGAAAAGAAGTGAAAGGAAGGACCAGTATTATCAATTCCAAGGCATAACTGACAGAGCTTTCCAGAATGGAATGTTTGTGCTTTACTGTTTGAGCCTTTGAGGCACAGACTCTGACGTGTAGAAGCAATATATCTAACAAAGAATGTAAGTACACATGAATAATTAGCATACAGTTGACATCTCTGGCTGTAGGAGGAGCCACTGTGTCTGGAAAGTTGTGTTCTAGGTGTAGTAAAATATCACAGATAAATAGCCTGTCTCAAACAGATTACTGAGGTCTAATAAATCTGGTACATATCAGATCAGTTATCACACCACATCTCATGGCAAAGCTCTTCTGACCCCCACAGGCTATTCTGGGCTTGGAATGTGATTTTTCTTTTTTATTTGTCATGCAAGTTTTGACAGAAAGCAAAATCCTTGGCAAAGACAACTCCAAAGCTGTGGCAGTCAGGTTTGGGCAGGGGTTGCCTCTGATGTCCTGAGGATTAACAGACCAATATTCAGTAAGACAATAATAATTGTCTCACTGAATGGATTGACTCAGCAGAGTCCAGGCTCCCAGGGCTGTGGGAAACCTTTATCTCCCACCAGGCTTTCTCCAAAGGCAGTGGAAATCTGGGGAGTAAAGGTGAGAAACCAATGGACAAAATAACCCCTGGGGGAATGTTAAACTTTCTGTTGCCTGATAATTAGGGTGCAAATTAGATACATCATTTCCATAAAATACCACTTGTAAACAAACACCAGTTTAGGTCAGGCTGTCTCCTCCACTCTTGTTTTGTAAGAACAAGATCCTATTTCTTGTCCTTCCGATGGGAATTGGAAAAACAGAAACTTCTCCAGACAGTGAAGAGTTGGATCTGCAGCTTTAAAAGACACTGAGATTGATGTAAAAATACAATACCCAGACATTAAGCAGAAAAATTGAATCTTATGTTTCTATAGTTGTAAATAAGAATATGCCTTAAGTAAGTGAGAAACTACATGAGGATAGTGAAAAGTTTATAATGTAGGGGCGTGGTTGTATGGAATAAGCCAAGAGTTTAGAAGTTAAAACAGAAGCATCTGTGTGCAAGTGAGTTAGAACCTCATTAGATAAAAGTATCCACAGTACAGCAGAAGTAAGTAAAAGTGGTAAGTTAGAAAAGCAAAATAAACCCTGTAGCAACTCTCTATTAGTTGCTTATAGAAGAAAGCAATATATTTTATTAATAATAATATTTCTTAGATTATTTCTAATGTTATTACTAATATTATTTCTAATATTTCTAATATATTATCAGAAAGTTATATATTACCTTATAACAAAAAAAACTTGTAACTACTCTTAAGCTAGAGCCAGATGCTTACTCCTCTAAAATCTCACTGACTGATGTTTAACTAACCAATAAATTGTTCTTAACTTAAAAATAGTCCCATCCCTTCATTTCTAGCAGTGACAGTGATACCTTCCCACTGGTTCTGTGCCCAGCCTGTGCACTTGCAGCATCCCTGGCTGCTGCAGGGGGTTTTATCAGCTCACCAGCCTCCAGTGTCCCTCCAGGGGCTCCACAAAGGGTGGAAAGAAAATCCCAGGAGGATTCCAGACCTTCAAATTCCCAGGAGGACAGTCAGCTATTCCTGACTCTGACTAACATATGTGAATTGTGAAGTTCGCTGCTGTCATCTAGAAATATTTAGAAATGAGGAGCTTGTAATAATTCTGTAAAATAAATAATGCTGTATTCTTGCTGTTTTCTGCTTTCTGAAGGAATCCATGTGATGGTTGTTTTTGTCTGGATCAGTCCTCAGGCCAGCAGGGCCTGCTTATATAACAAGAGTTGATTTTTATAAACTGAAAGAGGCAAAAAGCCCAAACACATAATAGAGAGGAGAAAATGCAGCTAGAGGGACTGCTGTTGAAAACACAGAAAACTGGTTTCTTGACCATATGAAAATCTTTAAAAGGCAGTTAAAAAAGTAAACTACTTCACTGAGATGCCGTAAAATCTTACCATTTCAATGTTTTTAACACCTAAGTAAAACACATTCTAATTCACTTCAATCTCTTTAATGTCTTAAACAGTGGCTCTAGAAGAAATCAGTCTGTTTTAAACTGAGGAAGACACAAAGTGTGTGTGTGGTGTCTGGTGTTTCCAGTGGCTGCTGAAGAAATCCATTGCAGTAAAATTCTGTATAAACAGAATTCACATTCTAGTAAAAAAACCCCTTTAAAAACTGCAGATAAATTATTTTAAAATAGATCAAACATTTACAGTTTATTAATATATATCACTGAAATATACAACTTGGTATTGATTAAATAGGTTAACACGGATAGAACTGTAAAAGAAATACTTTTTTAAAGTGCCAGAAATAGGTTCTTGAACTAGTGCTAGTCAATGAATTTATCTGTTCTTTACAATAAAAGAGTATTAATGCCACAGGTTGCATGGCTAAACCTTTGTAGCCTGATAAATAATCATAAAAGCACTGGTAAGTTATATGAGTGGAATCATAGAATATTAACAAACTTGATTGCATTTCACAGGTCTCTGGTTGAGTTTGGATGTGAGAAATGAAACTTCACCATGGCTCTTGTTAAATGGAAGAAGAATGATTTCACAATACTCTTTTGGTGCTGTCACAATCCCGTGTCTTTATCCATTTTGGGTCCCCTGGGAGGAAGGTGGAGGCAGCACTTACCACTGTTTTGTCATTAAGGACACATGGAGGGCAAACCAGAAGTCATAGTGGCTTGTGTCCAAAAAAAAAAAAAAAATGTAACAAAAATTGTATCAGAACATTTCATTTGGCCACATTCCGTGGAAGTATTTTGGCTTTTCATCTCATAGTGACATTTCCAGCACTAAACTTTAAGTGAAGATGCTCAAAAATGTAAGCAAAAGCTTGGTTCTTCCCAAGTTTGAGAGCTGGGGTTGTTCAGCCTGGAGAAGAGAAGGCTCTGGGGAAACCTTAGTGCCCCTTCCAGGGCCTAAAGGGAATATATGAAAAAGCTGGGAGACACTTTTATGTGCAAATAGCGATAGGACAAGGAGGGGGCATGGTTTTAAACTACGAGAAGACAGATTTGGATGAGATGTTAGGAGGATTTTCTTCCCTGGGAGAGCCCTGGCACAGGTGCCCAGAGCAGCTGGGGCTGCCCCTGGATCCCTGGAATGCTCAAAGCCAAGTTGGACAAGGCTTGGAGCAGCCTGGGACAGTGGGAGGTGTCCCTGCCATGGCAGGGGTGGCACTGGATGGGCTCTAAGATCCCTTCCAACCCAACCCATTCTCTGATTTTATGAAATTATTTTTTCAACACGTTGCTGGCTGAGATAATGAACTCTGAATGTGATCACTTACATGGAGCCCAGGGGTAAACCCAGAGAGGGTTCAGCCTGGCTGAGCACGAAGTCTGGGGTTCAGCTGGTTAAAGGAGGGGATTTCTGGTGACCATAAACCTCTAACGGCATTTCAGACACCTCGGCTGTCCAAACCTCCACAGTGCTATCCCCACTCAGCCTTCCCTGGAAATAGTTTGCATTTGAGTCCAAACCTGTGGTAGTTCTTGCTGTTCTCTTCACTCAAAACAATTTTACCAGCTCAAAAGAATGCATACATGCTCTCAAAAAGCAGAGCTGCTCAGGATGTTCATCCTTCTTGGTGTCATTAATACACTTTGCTAATGAATTAAGAGCTTTTCTTATAGCATTGGGTCTTACCTCTCCGTTAGCAAAGCAATAGAGAACTGCTACCAAAAAACCCTGTAAGAGAAAGGAGTGAGAGGAAAAAGTCAGTGTGCAGGAAATACCTGAAGCTCTAATTCAAATGTGACATTAGTGTTAAAACCATAAATATAAACAGTGCTCCTTAATGTTCAAAAGGAAAGTAGTTTATTGATTTATTAATTAATGAAGTACCCAGTCACTTGTTTTTGGGCAGTTCCTTAGCAAGTGCAGGGCACATTTTGTGCAGATGCTGAAGAATAGAAATTATATACATAAAAATATATTTTTAAATTAGATATAAATTATATATAATTTAAATATATATACATTTTTTATATATATTTACATATTATAAAACCCATTTATAATTTTGCTACCACATAATGGGGTTTTTTGCTATCACATAATGGTTTTTTTCCAAATTATTGTGTTATACTGTGACTGCTGCTATTTCCACATGAGGTAAAATATAAAAGAAATGCAGCTTGGTTTCTCATATTATATATAGGCTTGTCTGGGTTTGTGAATGATTCTACTGAGAGCTCATTTGGGCTCTTTTTACAAATTATTTCTATATTAAGTGATTAGTGTTAGTTCAAAGCTCAGCTATATTCAGTGTTACGGACATTTGGAATTGCTGGTTTTCCTTTGAAACCGATTCAGATAAACACCTTAAAAAACCCTACAGATACAGCTTGTTTTAAACCAACCCCAAAATCATAATTTCCATTTGCCTCTCTCTGTCTGGGTTTGATCTCAGGCTAAAGCAGCTTACAGGCCCACAGACATGCAGATTGATTCCCACTGCTTCAGGAAATGCCCTTTTTCGGTGTGTCTAAAGGCATCTGTGCCACAATTCTGATTAAGAGAATAAATACTCTGAGTCCCAAGGCAATATTTATATCACAGCTGCAAAGGTGCAATCCAGCTGACAGCATTTGATTGTTCCCACACTCATATTTTTCCAGAAATATTTCTGCTTTGCTCAGACAGAATTTTAAAAATAAATCCACATACACAGAAGCTTCAACATTTTTCATTACACCTACAATTAACCAATAGCATTCTGAGCCTGCTGTTAATTTTCTAGCAGTCCTGAATTATTTAGACTCATTAATTCCTTCAGCATATGTGCAGTTTATCTGCCACCCCAGTGGAAATGGGGACAGGAGAAACAGCAAACAGAATTGCTTTCTCCATGTATTTTATTTCTGTAATTTTTCATGCTTCACCTGGCTTATGGTAGGAAGATGTAGTTAATTAGAGTTAATAATAGGTGGTATTAATAGGTGATATAATAGGTGTTAATAATAGGTGATATTAGTTAATAATAGGTGATATTAATGATAATAGGTGATTATAGAGTTAATAATAGGTGATATTAATAGGTGATATTTATGTGACATATACATCGCATGAATATATAATGTCATCTAATATTTTAAATATATTAAATACGAATTTACTAGCTTAAAAAGCAACATTTTATGCAGAACTCCTCCTGCTCCTGGAGGCAGTTCTCTTTATTGGGGGGTAGAAAGTTCCTAACTCTGCTGGGTGGTTTGTGGGTTTTCTGTTATGGGTATGAACTCTAAATTTGGCCTCCCAGGCACCACAAGCAGAAAGAGGATTTAAATTTCACTCCCGAGCCTGGTGAAAGGTACTGTGAGAAGGGCAGAGACCAGGAGCTGCCTGTGAGGCTCCCTGGGCTGATCTCACTTTGGAAAATACCTCTGGGAATCTCCTTCACTGCTGCTGCAGGGCCAGGGCAGGAGTGACAAACGCTGTAAAATCCCACCAGAAGGTGGAAAACTTCACTGATTATTTATATTTCATGGTCACTTCACATCCTGGTTTCTTTAAGGCTTACTCAGTTTTCTCCCAGTAAATTGATTTTCACAGTTAGAAAGCTTCCCAGTTTGTTGTGACTTCCCAGACACACAGAATTATCCCAGTGTGAGTGAAAATGGAGAATCACAAATTCAGAATAAATGCTCATTAGCAGAAACACCAACAGGAAAGGACAGATACACACCTCAAAGTTGCTCTTCAGTTCTAATGACAATTGCAATGTGATAAATTACTCAAATAACTGGGATTTTCCACCAGAAACCAGTGTTTTTTTCCTGAGGGTAACAATTTCCATGCACAAGGGAGCCAAGATGTTTAGATTGCCCCATTTCCTAAAGCAAAGCAGCATCCTACCTACAACAGAACTCCTATTTAGAATTTAATTTTGTGCTCCTTGAAAATGTTTGAGTTAAACCTTCAGCTGAGATCCCAGGGATAATTGTTTTTCTTTAACAAAACAGTTTAACTGCCTTTTTAAACTACTGAGAAGATTTACAGACTAAACAAATGTAATTGGGTACAGTTTATGTGCTTTTTGGCTAATCCCTTCATAAATAATGCTGCAGCTAAAAAAGAGAATCTGCAATAAACATTGGCTGAGATCTCTGGGTATTTTTTAATGGAGCTCTGCTTCTAAAGCATGACATGCTGCCAAGCTCATGCATGTTTCTCTAAAAGGAATGAAGTTTGTGTTCTTTAGCAAGGATGAGTAAGCTGGTTTATATATCAGATTTCTTTGTACAAGCCAGTAAATAAAATCTTCACTTAAAATGATTCTGCACTTTTAAAATAACATCTAGGCACTGCAACCTCTCCAAGTAAGGATATTTCTAACCAAGGAACTTATACTCCAACATTAATGTCCCTTCCAACCCAAATAATTCTGGGATTTTGTGAACACCATGTCAGCAGGCTCCTCGGGGTTGTGGCTCTCCAGGAATTCTCTGCTTTCACTGGCACATTTTCCCCCTCAAGCTGTGGTGGAAATGTTGAAGTCTAGCCTCAACACCAGTGTCAGAACACTGATGCATACATGCACCAGGGCACAGGTGCATATATGCAAAGGTAAAAACCCAGGATTATGATAAATTGTGGGAAAAGTGCAGCAATGCTCAGATGGCCTCAGGCTGCAGAAGAGGGCAGCAGTGTCAGAGAGTGAATTACTGAGGAGCAGCCACTTGGAGCCAGAGAGATCACTGGGCTTTGCAGCAAATGAAGGTCTGGAAATTGCTGCAAAGCCCCAGGAAGAGCAAGGCAGGGAGATGTGGGAAAAGGACAACTCTGCTGGACGGGTTCATTAGTGGTCTCTCAAAAACTCATTTCTTAGCAGTGCTGCAGCACTCCAGACAGGCAGACAGAGATGCTTTGTGCCAGTGTCCATCTGGGAATCACCCCTGGGCTCCAGCACCAGCTCAGCCTGGAATCTGGGCTCCTTGCAAGTGGCTGTTTGATTGGAGTGTGGCTCCTTTAGCCCCAGCCCTGCAGCTGAGTTCCACAGCCCTCCCTCAACTCAGCTTTTTCCTGCTCACACCAAACTAAGGCAGGGGGAAGGAAGAGGAGCCAAGTGCCTGAACGCTGTAAAACACTCCTGACTCTGAGAGAAACTTCTTTCCCACCTGCAGATGCTGGTCCATTTTTCTGTTCCATCATGTGAGGGCTCTGACAAATTTTCTCCTAAAACTAACTAAAAACGGATGCAGGTGTAGAGCACTTTTGTGAGCGTGCAGCTGGGATTGTCACTTTGCAGGTAAGGTGAACAAACATCCTTTAGGAAAATAAGCCCAAGCCTTGGATGAGGCAGACATTCTCATGGTTGTGATTTTGGCTGGGAGTGTTTGAAATGGACAATTTTAATCCTGTTTGCAGGGATCCGTGATGAGCTGTTACCTATTACCTTTTTTTCTGAAAATGTCAGACTCCTTTTTTTTGGTGTTTGGGACTATAATATTTATTTATGAGTGTTTTATCTTGTTACTGCAACAGTGTATTTAGAGACATTGTAGGTTGGGATATAATGTTAAATCAGAATTCACTATAACTGTGGTGAGCAGCAAATGCACATGGATCTATGAGCCCTAAAAACAATATTTGCAAAACACAAAAACCAATATTTTCAGAACTTACATGAAATGAGCTCATTGTCAGCTGAATGAAAAGTCTTATATGTCTTGAAAGTCCTTCCACCTGTTCATCAGTGATGAAGGTAAACACAAATTCGTGGATCCCCAACAATGGAATCAGCACAAGTGTAGATCTTGCCAATCTTAAAAAGAAAATGTTTGATTATTGTATTTTTTAAACGTCCTTGGGAACAAAAATCAAAAGCTCAGAGACAAAGAAATTATTCCAAAAAAACATGCTCTCAATATTCTGACTTTGGAATGGTAGCAGCAGTTTTGTGATTTTGAGAATAATGGATGCATAAATCTGCGTAAAGTCTAGTTAAAAGGCATGAGTAAATGAAATGTTTTCCGTGGCACATCCTGGCCAGAATAAAGAATTCTGATTCTCCATCAGGCCACAAACATAGTGCTAGAGGGTTTTTCTTTTTCTTCCTGAGTTTTGGTGACAAAGGGAAAGATGTGTCCCAGCAGCAGAGGCCACAGGTGTGAGAGGAGCTCCCTGAGAGCAGAGATCTCCGTGCACTGAGAAGCCTTTGTGACAATGCCCCAAAATTCAGCACAGCTGCTGAGCTGCCTTTGCCTCCCAGACATGGAAATGTCTGTGGAGCCTCCATTCCTATTCTGAATATCTATTCAGAATATTCAGAATATGGCTATTTCCCATATTCTGAATATCTGTTACTCCTAGTGGTGGTGGGTACATCTTTAGGGGAGACTGACAAGATTTTGATGTGACAAATTGTTTAAAAAGGGGCCAGGACTTTGGAGGAATGTACCCTCTGTTAACAGTGACCAAATTATTCTTTGTCTACCTAAAAAAAAAACAAAAAGCCCAAAAGTTTCTCTCCTCAATTTAGTAAAAAGACACCTCATAAGACCTTTAAAACTTCACCTCAGACCTAGAGCTACCCAAGTGGACAGAGGCCAAAAAGTCCCACCTAAGTAATTCACTAGAAAAAGAAGATAACAAAAGAAATAATCGCTTTTGTAGAGTGTTGTAACCAAAACAAAAACCTCTTACCCCTAGCTCAGTTTTTCTTTAAAAAAGCTTTGTTATTTTGCCTTTTATTAAACTTTTTGTGTTACCCACACTACCTCAAAAACCATCCTACTAATTTTATACCATTCAAAGTAGCTAAGCTCTCTCAAGTGTGATAAATCCAATAAGAGCTGATAAGACCTAACTCAAGAGAAAGCTATCAGGAATTCTGAGTCATTTGTTACATACCTGTATTTGTAGTCATGGAAGGTCATTTGCTGAGCTTTCAGTTTGGAAATCAGCATTCTGAGAATTTTTAAGAAGATGCCAAAGTTAACCTCGAAGGAAAACACATATGGCTTATTTACAGCAAATGTTTTTACACTCATCAGTTAACAACTAAATAAATGTATCGTTGATATTAAACACTTGCAAAACTTGCCACCAAATAACTGGAATGCATCTGGGCTGAAGTTTGAATACAAGCAGGTTATTGTCCCATAATAAATATGCAAAACTGAGTAACAGCATTGCCTTATTCAGCCTGACATATAATTTGATCTTCCAAAATGACAGAATTACATTTCATTTTTTTAGCACAGAACCCTCCTTCCTCATTTTTTGAATAAAACTTTATCCCTTCTGTCACTTTATGTGAAAATTGAAACATTATTACATTATTGAACATGAAATATTATGAATTATTGAAATATGAAATATTATTTCGATATTGCTGTAGTAGGAGACTGTATCTTATTTGTTCCAAAACTTTGGAGGACAAAAATGGCACTAATTACAAAGACCAAGGAGGGGAAAATAATCCAGGTTATATAATTCTTACTGCAATGGAAAACAACATTGGTCCTCGGATGATCCACCAGATCCCCATGTGTTCATTTGTTCCCCAGCACCTGGAGAATTATTTAAAGTATAATTATTTTCATAGGCAAAAAAAAAAAAAAGTTAGAATGCTCACATAACTTGTCTGTTTATTTCAAAAGGAACTTGGTGAAGTTCAACTTTTTTCTGAGAATTCCCAGAAGGTTTTTTGGTTCGGTTTTTTTTAAGGTTTGTTTTTTTTTTAATGTAAAAGTACTAAAGGGAAGCTTGAAAATGTAACAAGTATCCATAGGTGCTGCATAATCTGATAATTTTCTGGTCAAGTACAGCCAAGGGCTTTCAGCCAAGAAAAAAAAATCAGGATTCCAAAGAACATTTTCTTTAATAACCTACCCAGTGTTCTCCAGTTTGGATCTGCTTATTCCCCATGGGCCCACAAACAGGATTGGAACAACTGCAAAGAAAAGAAGAATCTATTCCAGCCAAGCCTGTAGAAATAGACTTTCTTTTTCCTTTACAAAATATCCTCCACTGACTCAGCAAAGCAAAACAAAATCAGGGCTTGGAAACAGTTCTGGACTTACCCCATCCTATCACAATGTATGTCTGCAGCAGCCTTCTTTCAGAGAGCACCACAGTTATCAATAATGTGTGCAGATAAATTCCTTCCACCAACAGCCAGAAGTAATTTGCCCCAACAAAGTAATGCATGAAAAACTGGGCAGTCCTGCAAATGATTACAATCTGTAGGAAGGAGAGACCAGGAGTAAATATGGAGTCAGGATCTGCAGGTGAGAGTTTTTACTGATGAGCTGGTAAAATAATAATTGTCATTATTTATCTTGTAGATAATTTTCCTTGTTGATGTGGGTAACCTCTATTCCTACAAAAACATACAAGAATAATAAATATTTATCATATTTATAAATATATATGAGCTCTAAAATTATATTATGTATATATATTATACATATAATTATTGTGTAACTATTAGAACTATATATAATAGTTATATAGTTATATTCTATTATATAATAGATATAATAGAATTATAAATATATTATATCATATATATAATTATATCATATATAAAAATATATTTTATATATATAATACATATTATATATGTTATATGTAAATAGATTAGCTATAGATATAGATGATATAGATATAGATAATCTGTGCCAAATAAACACAGACATTTCCTTCTAAAGGCTACAAGGTGTGAGATGCTTTGCTTAAGTGGCTGTTTCTAAATATTACAATCAATTAATTAGTTCTTCCTATTTATTTAAAAGAAATTCCTTACAGTCAGGATTTCATCTTGATTACCCCAACTTTTACCAACACAATTTCAGTATCCAAAACTCAATTTACAAACACCTCAGCAGCTGATGCTGTAGGGCCAACTCCCAAAAGTGTAACTGTTATGACCACTAGAAGCACACATTTATTATCAGCTATGAATTAACACATTACCTCTGGACTGAGGTACAATATCCATCCACTTTCATCATTTGGTCTTTTTGAGTAAATATTGTTGTACACAGAGTCTTTAATAAGAACTGCTGCAGCACGCAAGATAAAGGATGCAAATAAATTCATATGGATGTAGTTTCTTGTGCAGTGAAGTTTTCTGGGGGAGAAAAAATAATGTATGAATCCTCCAGAATATGTGTAATTTGCAGAAAGAAAATTTTTAAAAACCAACAAAAACCCAGCAAAACAACTGTTTTTTTCATATTGCTGCTCAATGGATTCTGCTTAGAAATTGCATTTGTATTGCCCCTTAGGAAAATACAAGTTATTTACATGGGACCAACAGAATGGTTTGTGTTAGAAAGGATCTTAAGCCCCATCTCATTTCATCCCCCTGCCATGGACAAGGACACCTTCTCCTAGATCAGGTTGCTCCAAGGCCTTAAAATCTGGATGAACTCAAAATAAAGAATTTCTACCTGACACCTAATTTCAATCTACCATCTTCAGCTTAAAGCCATTTTCCAAAGCTCATCCCCAGCTTTTTTTTTTTTTTTTTGTAGCCCCTTCAGGTACTGGAACACTGGAAACTAAATGATAACTTCAATTTCATAAGAAGAATGTAAATACAGGGCTCTGTACATTTAAAATGCATGTAAATTTTTACTAACCTGAGTAAAGAAAGTATAAGCAGAGCTAACACCAGTGAGATGAGAGAAAAGTAATATCCTATGGTGTATAAGAGCTGTAATGTGGTGAGCAGCTTATGTTCTTCTTCCTGGGAACAAAGAAGAAAAATGTGTTATGTAGGCAGGGGGACAGGGCAGAAGCAAAGCTCAGGAACTTTGGGGATCACGTTTTTGAGTTTCCAGGAGCCAGGGCAGGATTCTGATCCCTGCTCCCTGCACTGCCTTTTGAAATCAGTGTGTGACAATGCTTTGAAATCAGTGTGTGACAATGCTTGCACCCTGAGTTTCTTTTGAAATCCAAAGGCTCTCCCAGACTATTCCCAGATTTCTCCTGCCCAAACACCATTTGTAGCCCAAACCCCAGCTGCTCCTCGCCATGGATTCATGGATCCTGGTGGGTTAGCAGCTGCAGGGATAGCTGACTGAACCTGCACACAGTGTGTGTGTGTGGCCTGGACACAGCACTGACCAGCTGTGTCTGCACAGTTCTGGGAGTCAGCTCTGCCTACAGCTACTGCAACAGACTGAGTTCACAGGAAAAAATATGATTATTAAATTAGAGCTGTCTCAAATGTCTTTGAGTGACAAATAAGACCGCAGAGGAGGAAGGGAACTACTCACACTTTGATAGATTATCATCGAACATCCTGAGTTGAAAGGTGCCCACAAAGATTTGAGTGACAAATAAGACCGCAGAGGAGGAAGGGAACTACTCACACTTTGATGGATTATCATCGAACATCCTGAGTTGAAAGGTACCCACAAAGATTTCTGAAGCCCAGCTCCTGGCCCTGCACAAATTTCCTCTCAATTTGCCTAATTTAGCATTTATTCTTCCTATTTTTTGTTCTATTTTAGCTGCTTATGTCTGCCTCTCAACTCTTCAAACTTCTAGCACAAGAAAAGCATCTCTGAAGAGGCAATGAGATACAGGACGTGTGGCTTTCATAATCCACATTCGGCCTGCAGAGCTTTTCTTGGAACCTGTGTCTTTTCCTCACTGATTTTGCTGGTTTTCTTCTTCTACTCAGCACCAGGACTTTAGCACTGTCTTTGCCAGCAGTTTTCTCTCATAATTCCATGCCAGTGAGCCATGCCTCTCTGGAAGGGGTGGAGGAGCCCAGGGAAAGCAGAGTGGGTGCAGGAGATTCCCAGCTGTTGGTCACTCTGCTCCATGGAAACATTCCAGCAGGGAAAAACCTCACAAAAATCTCAAGTTATCATCTTGGCTATTTCGATTTTGCAACAGCAAAGCACGTGAAACCAAGCTGATTCCTCTGATGTGTGAAGATACTGGCTCTGGGTAATTTCCAATAGCTTGGGGGGTTTCAATTAAATAAAACAAACAAATTGCACGTATTATGCAATTAAATTAAAACAAAACAAATGGAATAATATTTATTCAATTAAATAAAACAAAACAAGCCCACATTTAGTGCTGGTAGGAAAGCTGGTTAAAGCTTTCAGAGATATTGTCTGCTGTCACACAAGATGAAATAATATCAAATATGCTGATCCAGAATGGTCAACAAACCTTGGAAAACACTCAGAACTTATGAATATATTTATTATATTTGCATAAATAAACTGAAAGTTTGGAAATTCATGTATTTACCATATAAAGAGCTTAGTAAAAACGTAGTAATACACAGAGCTACTAAACTAATAATGTTTCATAACCAATCAGTAAAGCATTGTTACTTGATAAAGTAAGAAACAGCACTCAGTCAGTATTAAAAAGTAAAAAATAGTGGTGATAGTGCTTACCTAAGAGACCTAATTCTGAACTCCATGGCAAAAGAAGTTTGGCTGATGAAGTCCAGCCTGATGCAATATGAGAAATACAGGAAGGAGGGCATTGGGTAAGGGTGGATCCTCCAGCCTCTGAGCAGCTAACTTTGAAATAACCAAATAACAGCTCAGGAAATGCTGAAGGCTCAGAAGGGAACCTGTCTGACTTTCACAGACCAGTGTGATTTGGGGAGTTACTTGCTTGACAAGTTGCAGTTTTTCTATTTTATTAGGAGAAAATCAGCAGATGTGAACTCTGGACTCTGAACAGAAAATAACTTGTGGCATCTAAAGCAGGAATCCCCTTCTTTAATATTTTCTTTTCTGCTTCTTATAAATAAAACAACAGCTTTCTATTTGGTAATTTAAATGAAATCTGAAGATGCTTTGCAGGTATTAAATGGAAATGTTTTGTCAGTTACTCAAGAAAGGATTAAGAAGATTAAAGTTTTCATCTGTAATATAAAACACACTTACATTTTTCTGGAAATGATTTTTCTCAGAACATTCTGAGCTATCCCGCCAAATGTCTGTGGAATTTTCCTTTGTTTGCCAAATCCCTTCATCCAAGCAGACTCTGTATACATGTCCTACACTTCCTGAAAGTAAACAGAGTTTTCGTTTGAAAGGTCAAAATAGAGATTTCATTTTTCATACATGTTTGAAAGAGTTCTACCTCCCCAATAGCCTCTACACCCACCACCCATACTCAAAAAAAAAAATAAAACCCACTTTTTTTTTGTCTTTGTCAATATATTTTTTATAGTTACATAGGACAAAATAGGAATGTAGTCCAGCAGAAATAAACTCCCAGAATGTGCCTGTTTTTTACAAAACCCACACAGAACATCCAAAAGAGAAGCCTTCATCTCCCTTTATTCATTTTTCCTCATTAAGCTCGTGAATGGGTAATTCATCAACCAGGCTGGGCAGTCAAAACTGCGCAGGGATTTGATCAGGGAATGATCTTTCTCTGTAACACTGATGTTGCAGGTTGATATTTCATTTCTGTGCCCCTTCAGCAGCTGGGGTGAACTTATGAAGTTTTTTTGGTTTTCACTGCACTGTCCCAATTACCCTAATTAGGAATTTGCCCACAGCATCAGAGGAACGGTGTGGGGACCCTGGTTGATGTTTGTTTGATGTTGTCCTTAACATCTGCCATCCATTTATTTCCAATCAGACCTGACCTTTTTCAATCATTTTTGAGTTGAAATTGTTCAAGGGTGGTAGCAACAAGCAGAATATCTTGTTTTGCTCAGCCCAGAACTCAGGGAATTGCTTTGGGAGCACAGTTTGTTGTGATGGAGCAGGAGCTCTAGACACTGGAAAAAACCTTAAACCATCCATGAAATGTGATCAGAGATCTTGCTTTTGTAGGAATTCAGACAGGAAAAAAATCTCCATTCCATGGAGGCAAGATGCTTTTGTTTATTATGAAGAGCTGGGTTTGTCCTAAATGGTTGGCAGAAGCAGTTTGGGAGATTAGATAGGAACTTGGTGTCTTAATGCTTATTAGCATAAAAAAGGAGATTATTATTTAGGGTAAATATATTATTATAGAAAGTATTTAATAGATATAACATATTAAATATGCATTAAATATTCTATATTATATATAATATAGAATATACAAGATATATTGTATATTATCTGTAATAATGCTAGTAAATATATAATAATTATATATAATATATTATATATTATATATTATATATTATATTTTATATATTATATATTATATATTATTAGTCAAACCATGTGTGCTTTGGGCTTGGGCTGTAGACAGCTGGGATAAGCTGAACCCTGAATCTGTAACTATGAATAAAGCCCTGGCAGTATGGTGTTGTGGTTTTAGGGTTTTTTTCTTTACATTATCATTTTAAAAAATTGTAAAAAAAAGAAAAGTATCCTAAAAATTTTATTCTTTTTACTGTCTCTTTTAGCTACTATTAATCAATTTTTCTCTATACCCTTTTAAAATTTTAAGCCTACTGTACCTTTCTCCTATTCCTATCTCACATCAAAAAATAGATAAGTATTACATTCTTGTAGAATGGAATTACTTATAAGTAATATGTATTAATGTAATAAGTATTACATTCTAGTCAGTGCACTAATAATTGACCAGCACTAATCCCACCCCACTAATTAGCACATTAACAAAAAAATCTCAAATTGACAACCCAAAACCACTACACATGGTTACATGACCTTGCAAATGTTGCTTTACAGCTGACAGTCCAGAGCTGTGGCAGGCACAGATGGAGAAAAAGAGGGAATAAAATCAAAAATGATTTTGTGCCTCAGTTCAGAAGTGGAAGAAAGAGGTGAGACTCCAGAGGACACTGGGGCAGGACAGACGAGCAGCACCTGTCCTTCAGCTGAATTCCTGGCACAGACTCCAAGAAAAGCCACCACTTTGCCATCACCACTTTGCCATCACCACTTTCACATCACCACTTTGACATCACCACTTTAAATCCTCACTTTGCCATCAGCACTTTGCCATCACCACTTTAAATCCTCACTTTGCCATCACCACTTTCACATCACCACTTTGCCATTACCATTTTCCAGCCATGGCAAATATGAAGGACAAGGAACAGAGACATTTCCAGGGGGTGAGTAAGGCCAGCAAACAAATTGATCAAATGTCCCATTGCAATGCACTCCTGGGGAGAGAAGCAAATAAAAGTTTTACAAAAAGTTGTGCAGACAAAGGGCAGTCATGGAAACCACTCTGTACTGTTCCAGGGAACCTGCAAGCCACTCCAGAATAATGAGATATTGCAGATAAATGTTGTGCATGAGAAAATTATTGCTTAAAATCACAAGGAAGCGAGGTCAGACCTCACCAGGGGCTGCAGATTCCTCCTGAGGGACAGCTCCAAACTCTGCTCTGTGACAGTGACAGAACCCAGGGAATGGCTGGATCTCAGGAAAGGTTTTCCCCAGAGGGTGCTGGCACTGCCCAGGCTGCCCAGGGATGCCCAGGGTGGGGTCGCTGGGGGGTCTGGGCAGGGCCAGGGGCTGCACTGGGCGATCCCTGTGGGTCCTTCCAGCTCAGGGGCTCTGTGATTCTGTGATTGTGTGACCACAGAGAAAGGAAAATAAACAAGGGGCTCCAGACTCATATTTGTGTCAGGTGAATTGTTCTACACTTAGAACTTAGGAGCAGACATACAGCAAGACAATATTTGCATATTTGTCAGCATTAATAAATGTCTTCATTGCTTAATTCCTTACCACTGTCTACAGACGATTCCTGCAGCATTTTCAAGCATTCCTGTTTGTATTTGTTCCATCCAGTAGTGGTTTTTTCCAGCAGAGAACCTTTGGCCTGGGAGTGAAAATACTCAAGAAAATATGCAAGAAAAATCAGTTAGAACCTTTTAGTCCTTAATGACAAGTTGCTTTCCATTACAAGAAATTCTGGTCTGAGCACAGAAATGAGGAGAATGGAGGAAAAAATGGTAGGTGAAAAAAGTCTAAAGGGCTTTTTGGTTTTAGAATATTTATAAAGGTAATCAAGCATATCTGGTTGAGTAGTACAGCAAAAAGAAAGCTGAATAAACCAGTAATAAATAAACAATGTTATTTAACTACTAACACCTTCCCTCTGGTGCATTCTGTCCTCTTGCCCAGCATTTCACACAGCACTTATTTTACCAGCAGCTGCAACTGTGCCATAGACATATTTCTATTCCTCTTTTTCCCTTTTTCTTTTTTTAAGCAACACTTCTGTGAATTTTAGTTTTACTTGCCCATTTACACCAGACTGCCCTTTTTGCCTCAACAGGGCACTGTTTTGCTCTCTTCTGGTGTCCGTAGGTGAGAAGAGTCACAATAAAATGACAGACATCCTTATCTGACTGCAGAGGTCTTTAAGAGAGCCATAGATGATAATTGCTGTTTAAGAAAGCATTGGCTAAAACCAGAAGAAATAAATTCAAAAAAGCTACGTGATTTGGGTGAAGAAATGCCTTATTGGGAGCAGAGCAGTTCAGGAAGGATAATGGGAGATGCTGCTCACAGCTCAGTGTTAGCATGGTGACTTGAGCATTATTTACCCATGGAAAAGAACACAATTTCACACCTCTGTGAAATTAACCCCTGCTCTCCTGACCAGGGCTTTCAGAGGCCAGAGCAGCCAAAGATTACAGCTACTACAAGTTACCAAAAATGAAAAATCCATTACTGCTTGAAAATGTTACCGATTCTAATGAGTAAATTTTGGAGAGCAAACAAAATATTTAAGTTTTCTAAACAGTTTTTTACTAAAAGACGCCTTTCAGTTCTCCAGGAAAAGTCAATTTCTTTTTGTCTGGACTACACCTTTTCTTTGAAGGTGTGTGTTTGTCCTGATGTTTCCTGACCATGGGCTGAGATATATAAACAACACAATATAAGGCTGTGAACTTCACCTTTTTCCTTTCAACCTATGATTTGCTTTTATTTTAACGAAGAAAATCATATTTATTTACTTTTAAAACAGGAACAGTGTTCTGGTGACTAGCTCTTAGGCAGGATCACTATTTCATGCATTTTTTTACCGTGTAAAATGTTGCCTGCTCAATACTCTGCTTTTTTCCAGACACCCACTTTAAGCTTGAGGGAGCAGAAAAACTATAATCATTCTTCCGTGGATGGGCTTGAAAGATAAGGAGAGAATATTTACAGCAGCCATGAGAAAGGAATGCATGTTTCCAAAATAAAAAAAAAAAAAAGTATCTTGACATTTCCCTCATGCAGGCCTCAAAATCCTGGGAGCCAGGGGAGCCTCCTCAGACACTGGTGGGTCAGTGAACCCCATGTGAAGAGGCAGAGCCTTGGAGATGACGCATTTGTGACAGAACTGCTTGGCTGGGGGAAGAACACTCCATCTCTGATAAACAAATGTGTTCAACAGCCCAGGGAATGCAAAGGAAACCTCGCCGGGGCTACCTGGCAGCTGGTTTGGTTCCAGTGCTGGAGAGGAGGAATGTTCCTGGAACTGGGGAACTCAGGGATGCACAGGCGTGGGGAAGTTCACCCAACAAGAGAGAGGAGCAGGATAGGTCAAAATGACAGCTCCACATCACTCCTGATGGAACTGTCCATCTCCTCAAATCTGCAGGCTCGGTCACAGCCAATACCTGGTCACTGTTGGTGTAAATATCTGTGAGATAAATTTGATTTGGTCACATAGCCAATACCTGGGTACCATTGATGTAAATATCTGTGAGATAAATTTGTTTTGGTGGTCACATAGCCAATACCTGGGTACCATTGATGTAAATATCTGTGAGATAAATTTGTTTTAGTGGTCATACATCCAGTACCTGGTCACTATTGATGTAAGTATTTGTAAGATAAATTTGTTTTGGTCACATAGCCAATACCTGGTCACTATTGATGTAAATATTTGTGAGATAAATTTGTTTTAGTGGTCACACATCCAGTACTTGATCACTATTGATGTAAATACTTGTGAAATAAATTTGTTTTGGTCATACAGCAAATGCCTGCTCACTATTAATATAAATACCTGTGAGATAAATTTGTTTTGGTCACATAGCCAATGCCTGGTCACTATTGGTGTAAAGATTGGTGAGATAAATTTGTTTTTGTCATGTAGCCAATGCCTGGTCACTATTGATGTAAATACTTGTGAGATAAATTTGTTTTCTACTTTCTGATGAAAAAAATCAAGTCGACACAGAATAACAGCTGCAGCTGACAAAAAAATGGTTAAGAGCTGTCAGCTGACCTGAAAAATTAATTTTAAATATCGTTAGAGGGACATATTTAATAAATTTAAATTACTAATCAGAATGAAACATTTCACAGAGTAGCTGTGGCTGCCCCAAGTTTCCTTAATGGTTGATCTAAAAGACTTAGCATTCCCCTTAGGTTTATGTTCTCAAAGAAATAATAAACAGATATTCAACAAGAAACATGACGACTTGAATGGCAGCAATTTGTGAATTGACCAGAATGAAACATTTCACAGAGTAGCTGTGGCTGCCCCAAGTTTCCTTAATGGTTGATCTAAAAGACTTAGCATTCCCCTTAGGTTTATGTTTTCAAAGAAATAATAAACAGGTATTCAACAAGAAACCACGATGACTTGAATGGCAGCAATTTGAGAATTGAAGTTAATTGATGTTCTGTGTGTGTTTAAGAGGAAAAGAGTGAACAAAAAGTCAGAGGCAGGTTTGTCTCTGTGTCCTGACATCTGTGTGTCCGTGGTTCTTCAGAGGGGCACAGGACAAGGGTGGTCTCCAGTCTGGCCCTTGTGGGGAGCACAGGAATCACTGCTGCAGCTGGGGAGGCTTCTTCTGCTTGTGTCACCTTGGCCAAGTCACAGCAAAACAGATTAGAGAAAGGGTTGGGTTGGAAGGGACCTCAGAGACAAGAAAGATCTTATTCCACCCCCTGCCACGGCAGGGACACCTTCCACTGTCCCAGGGAGCTCCAAGCCCTGTCCAGGCTGGCCTGGGACCCTGCCAGGGATGGGGTGGGAGCCTTTGGCTGCATTCTGACAGACCCAGCTATTGTTTGTGGGGTGCCCCATGGCAGGAGGAATGATGAATCTGACTCCATGTCCTCAGAAGGCTTATTCATTATTTTATGATACTGTATTATATTAAAAAATACTAAACTATACTAAAGAATACAGCAAGGATACTCACAGAAGGGTAAAAAGATAATAATGAAAACTCGTGACTCTCTCCAGAGTCTGACACAGCTTGGCCCTGATTGGCCAAAGAGTGAAAACAATTCACACCAGAATCCAATGAAACAATCACCTGTGGGTAAACAATCTCCAAACACATTGCAAAGCAGCAAAACAGAAGAGAAGCAAATGAGATAATTATTGTTTTCCTTTTTCTCTGAGGCTTCTCAGCTTCCCAAGGCAAAAATCCTGGGCAGAGGGATTTTTCCAGAGAGTGTGAATGGCACACCCAACAAATACCTCAAATACCACAACACAGGTTGCGATTACAAATCCCAGGAAAGTTCTGTGATGTCCAAGCTTTGGGTTGGGTACAGTGCAAGTTCCATGGCAGAAATACAAACTTCCAGGGCAATTTCCCGTGACCTCAACCAGGGGAAACACGCAGCCTTTGGTCTGTGGGGCATTTCAGTTGCCATTTGGCCACTGCTTTCAAACAGGATTTCTGGCTGGGGAAAGTGAAACTCCCATGTCTAAGGCAGAAGCTCAGAAAGTCCATGGTGCTTTGCCCTACACTGGACATCATTTCAGGTTGTCTGAAGATTTTTTGGTGAAGAAGGAACTGCCTCAGCCTGCCAGCCTGGCCTCTGCTTGCACTGAAGTTCACCCATGAGGAAATTTAATCAAAACTCCCTGGAAGTGTCTGGCTATTTATTGAGATTGCACCACGAAGACCCCGCTCTTTAGACATTTGTTGGATGAAAAAGAAAATGCTGCCTGAAACTTTCATTTAGGAAATGGATTCTGTCCGGTTGCAGACCAGTTTAAATTTAAGTTTTTCATAACTGACCACAGTCAGAATTTCACCCTTTTAATTTTTATACTAAGCTGACAGTAAAATAAAATGTTTCTGTTTATTCAGGCTATGCTCTTATGGACAGAAAAAAAGCCCCTTCAATTCAGGCATAAACTAAAAATAAAAGCTGAAAAATATTTATTCATTCTTTCAGCCCTGATCCAGGTTTAGTCTGATGGATATTTTTCCTGTCTATAGAGGTTTTTGCTAGAAAATACAGATATAGTGATTTATGGCTGTTATTCCTTTAAATGTTTCTTTCTTATGAAATAAAATATAATGAAATACAGCACATATTTCTTTAAACAAGTTGCAAGAGCCACTATGACAAATTAATTCACTGTGATTAGTCTAGCAAAGTTTTGATTTCACAGAAGTTTTTGGGAGTTTTTCCGTCAGCATTGATGGAATCAATGCTTTGGCTGAGGTGTCTCACAAATCTGAGTTGTTTCAGTTCTATAAACAGAGGCTCTATGCAGAGAAACTCTAGATTTTAATTATATAAAATATTCGGAATATTTTCTTTAATTTTTTTTCCTCCTGGTAATTTTTTCTTTATAAAAATGTTAGAAACACAAATATTGGCTCTACAACACAAACAGCTGCAAACCCACTTTCTTAGAAACCAAATAAAATTGAGATTAAGTGGACAGAAATACCTTTTTACTTTCAGTTTATTGTCCTGATGCCCATCCACATCAAAGAAATGTACCCCAAATATATCTGTGAATTTTATTCAGTTCAATTGATATTTACCAATTGTCAGTAATTGTTTAAAAAATTTATTCAAATCAAGATTGATATTAATAAATGAACAAGCATTACTAAAAACCTACGTGAAAATTTCCTTGAAGTGAAATACACTGAGACATTTTCTCATTAAATACCTAAACCCTTTCCAATTTATAAGGTAAGTAAGAAGTAAGCGTTTGGAATTCCGTAAAGATTTAGGGGAAAAAAGAAAATAAAAATAAAACAGTTTAGTGGATCTGTACAGGAAATAAAGGCAAAAATCTCCTACAGATTTATTTGCTTTCTGCATGAAGGTGAGGTGCAGAACAAAACCATCCAGATTTCACAATCTGGAGAATCAGAGCTCACAAGTCAGTGCCAGAAACAAATCAAAGCTGGGTTTAGAACAGAGGAAAAACAGCAGAAAATAAACGTGGTTCATAACAGCATTTTTATCTGGGAGGAAAACAGAAAACCAAACATAATTCAGTGCTGATCAATATGGTATGAAAAGTGATTGTGCAAATCAAAATAATTTATTCACTGCATGAATGAGGATTAATAGAATAAAACGGTAATGAATGAATTAGTCAGAGAGAGTTCTAATATAAAACTCTGCAGCTTTGCAGCCATTGTTTCTCATGGCTAATTAGCAATAAAAATTAATTGTTGTGTCGGAAGGATCTTTGGTACAAACACGTTTTTTTGTTTGTGACAGTTAAAATGCTACGTGCTAGGAACTCACTTTTACAGTGCCCATTATTAATTATGGAATTAGCTTACCTGTTTCACAAGAAACAATAGCAGGATAGAGCTGGCAGAGGTTGGAGCTATCCTGGACCAGAGTCCCATGCTGGAACACAGAGCAAAAAGTGTCACCATGCCCATTCCAACAGATCTGTCCCCAATATGCTATTTCACTCTAAAAATCAATGATATTAATTAAAAAAATAATAGAAATAAAAGTGTCTTCTTTTATGAATGTCACTGTTCCATGATCCTCTTTCCAAAGAAGTGAGGAAGTCTCCTGAAGTGTTTAGCTTTGCTAGGCTCCAACTATGTTTTGGTTTTTCTGATTAAAGGCAGAGAGAGCTCAGTCTAAACTTCACAGCAACTCTGCTTGCTGCAGCTGCTCCACGGGCCAATAGGGAGGCAGAAAAGTACTAAAACATGAAAGGGCTGATCCTGTCACTTGAAGCTCCCCAGGAATTTTGCCAGTGATTTTTTCCAGAATGCAATCCAGCTCCACAAAACACACATATATATTTATACATACATAAATACATACACACATATATATATTTAATATATATTTTATATTAAATATATATAAATATATATTATATATATATATTTATATATATTTATATTCATATTTATATCTATCTATATCTATATCATATATATCTATATCAATATTTCTATTTATAGTTGTATATGTATTTATACATATATATTTATACACATATATATTTATACATACAATGTATATTTTTTAAATATCTATTTATATTTATATAAATAAATAGAGTAGGTAGAGAGTTGTCTTGAAAATCCACATTATTTTCATAAGAAGTGCATATGTGACTTCAGTGTCTGCCCTGAGGAACCATTCATGTTTTGACTTCACAGTTGTAAAATGAAGCAGTGAATTACTCTAACACCCCATTTTCTTTTGGTTCTTTGCATATCTTACTTGCACCACCAAACAGGCAGAAAAAACCAATATCTATAACATGCCAAGGTGGGAAATGTTTCCTAGATGGAGGAAAAAGAAATGCTATTTCACAGAGTGAGAAGATGCACATATCAAATAAGGATAATTCAACATTTTCTCTAATGTTTCACCTCCTTTGGGCAGAACTTGTGTTGTGTGGTCATGGGGGCAGACTGGGCAGTGCCCAGGAAACCAGCAAGAGCAAAGTCAGGTAATTTCTGACTTTTATTTGTCACTGCTGGAGCTCTGAACATGGGCAGTCCCCTTTCTAGTGCTGCATGCTGTGAAATGCTGCAGCTGACCAACAAGTTTTAGCTCCTTGCAAGTTTTTTTTAATAGCAAGAGTCACAACTGTATTAAATTCACAGTGTTCAGTGTCACAGGAGCATTTGGAACTGTGAGATTTTGTTTATTCCTCAGCTAAGAAATAGAGACTCCATCAGTGTGCCTCCAATCAAGGCAAATAGGCTTGTTTTGTTTGTATAAATAAAACTTTAGTGATTGCACACCGGGGTACTTCCAATGCTTCTGTGTTCTGTGTATGATTCATGGGGCAAATGATCATTTATTGTTACACTTCCTCATATTCCTTCCACAACACATTGCTGCCAAGCAACACTGTCCTTTATTCTTAATCTCCCCTGCCACATGATTTCTGGTCATGCCCAGATCTCTGCTCTCTGTCTTAAACTCCTAAGCTAGCACAATTTTCTGGGAGGGATGAGGAATGGGATGGTGAAGGCAGGCAGGTGTTCCATCAGGCAGATGCAGAAATCTGCAGGAATTTCTGGAATAATCGCTGGCGCAGCTCTGGAAGATGCCATCCTCCACCCCCGACTCAGACAGGAGGCACAGAGCCTCAGCAGCATTTTCTCTGAGTTTCCTCTCTTTGATCTTCTCCATCACGGCTTTCAGCAGCAGTTACTGGTGTGAAGGGACCAGAAAAGTTGCCAAACCCTTCTGCAAAGGAGACGGCAAAGGGGATCTGTGCATCCGCTTCAACAGCGCCGACGGCAACAGCAGCCAGGCTGTGCAGTACATCTGGGAGACAGGCGATGACAAGTTCGTGGAGAAGAAGTTCCACGCTGGCATCTGGTATTCCTGTGAAGAAATGATAAATGAAGAAGGTGAGTAAACCCGTGGAAATTTATTTAATAAGGCGGTCATGGTTTTTTTCCTGCTCGTTCGGCGCGTTCTTCCCTTCTGCTTCGTTAGTGGTTTTGTGGTTTGTGCGTGTGGCCTGAATGAGTTGCTCTTCTTTGGGAAAGGGGATCTCAGAGGGTGGTGTCTAGTCAATCCTAAACAATTCCTAATAAATTCTGCAAAGAACATCAGGGTGACAGGTTGTGGTTTTGATTTAGCTGACAGGTTGTGGTGCAGATGAAATGATTTGGTTTTTATTTTACTCACCATGACAGCAAGTTAAATTACTTGAACAGGAAAGTGTTTCATTTTTCCAGTGGATTTTATTCCATTAGTCAAAAATTAACATGCTTTAAAAACTCCTTCTGATTCCCTATGGCAACGTAAAACATGCAAACTTTATTTTTATTGTTTAAATCATTTGCACTAATAAATCTGTGGGATCTAAATTAGTTCCTGGATTTCCTCTTGAACACAAGTATTTCTACTTTCTTGCCGTGATCTCACCTTGCATAATCAAAGCAGAAGAGGATTATTTTCATCCTGCTAAAACATGTCATGGAGGCTTACTGGCCATAAGTGGTGGCATTTAATTGGGGCTCACTCTGCATATGTAAATATTATTAGAATGAAATTAGCTTTCTAGTAAATTTTGTATTTTTGTATAAGGGAATATATTTCTGGTTCAAGAATTCAAGGATTTATTGTAAAAAACAGATCAACATTAAGTTTTTCCCTTTATTGCCCTGATCAGTTTAAAAGCAACAGCTAGAACAGAACTTCAGAAAAATCAAAGCAACTGTCACCTATGCCTTAAAATGCAAATATTTTCACAGCCACCTGTCCTGAAGGTCCAGCTCTACCAGAACTTCTTGTAAGTTATGCAGTTTTAAGAGAAAAATAAAATCAGAGCAAACTATGTGTCCAAAAAACACCATTTATCCACGCCATGGGTTCCAGGGTTGTGTAATTTGAGCATCTGCTATGGAAGCTCAAGTTTGGAAGCTGATGTTTTCTGGCTTGGGCCAGTTAGGAGCTGGGGAAAAAAAAAAAACAACAAACCACCCAGCATGTCCAGATCAGAGAATTAATTCCGAGAGCTTTGTTCACAGCATCTGTGTGGGGGGCAGGGGCTCGTGTGGGTTTGGGAATCAAAGCTTACAGGAAGAAATTGGAATGAAGCTTAGAGGGAATTTGTGTGAGCAGCAGCCCTGCTGCTGTGAGGAGAGCAGCTCTGCCCTACACGAGCATTGGGAATTTTCCTCTCCTGGCTTTCACAGCCACCACCCCATGGAAATCAATTCACAGCCTTTCTCTAGGTCTTCCAGGCTCTGGTTCTACCTTGAAATAATCTGTGAGGACTCTCTGGTTAAAGCCCAGGAGAAGGTTGATGTACCAGGGTCTGTGTACACTAAAATCAGCTTCTCCTGATCTCCTCACTTTCTGCTTCTATGATAGATTTTACATTTTCTTCTTTCTATTAATCTCTTTCTTTAGATCATTACAGAGTACAAAATAACCCTGAATTTGATTTTGTTTTTTGGCTTTTTAGGTGAGAAATGTAGAAGCTTCATCAGTCTGACTCCAGCTTCTGATCGAGGTAGATGTGCATATTTTTTTGTCTGTAGCCAAAACTTTCCTGATCACACTCACCAATACAAGTATTCTCTATTAAATTAAATTAATCCATTTCAAAAATGCTTGCTTTAATCACAAAGAGTATTTTTTGTCCTTTATTTAGTTTTCTAACTTCAAGATGAAGGTTACATGGCTTAGAATATCAATGTATGTCTTTCTGAAGACACACCACTTGAATATGAATGGCTTTTAAATTGGAGTATGGGTACTGGAAGTCAAACTTTGTGTGTTTTTGCCCTCTGTCTCCTCACAGAGGAGACTTCAAGATGAAGGTAATATGGCTTAGAATATCAATGTATGTCTTTCTGAAGACACACCACTTGAATATGAATGGCTTTTAAATTGGAGTATGGGTACTGGAAGTCAAAATTTGTGTGGTTTTGCCCTCTGTCTCCTCACACCTCCACCTTTGCAGCCAGGAATTCTGTGGCAGGTTTGTGTGCTGAGGGGATTGTGGGAGATGTGCTGTGCCCCCAGCCAGCCTTGGTGGAATCTGAATCCCCTCCCTGTGCCTTACTCAGAGCTGTGAGGGCACATTTCCATTCTCTTCTTTCAAAGAATAGTCAATAATTCTTAATAAAGAATAATTAATTCTTAATAAAGAATTATAATTCTTAGTATAGAATATTTCCAATATTCTTACAAAACATTCCTGCAGATGCTGCTTTGTGCCTCCCTCTTGCTCCCCAGTATGAAAACATCAGTCCATCACTGATCTGATTAGACCAATCACTTTACAAGTGGCTGATCCTGAAAAAAACCCCAGAACTTGTTCTCCCCAACATTCTGGGACTGGAATATTTGCCTGGATATGCAATTTCAGACCCCTGAGAAGGAGAAATACTCATTTTCTGAAGGCCAGTTTTCCTTCTACCTGCTGCAGCTCATCACAGTGCTTTAACAGAACAATAGAATTTTGTAGCATGAGAAATAAAAATATAAATGAGATGTGGGTGTAGTCACACAGAAGTGAGGGGTGTTTTTGAGAGTTCCTCACAAGCAAAACTGCTGGTGCACACAGAGCTGAAAGTGACTCTGAACAGCACCAGCAAATGTCACAGGCACTGGCAGGCCAGGTGAGACAGCCAAGAAGCATCTAGGCACCGAAAAACCAGAAATCTCCCCTGGGGAGGGAAATCCTGTGTGGAAATCCTGCCCAGAAGGGGTTTGTGCTCTGCACATGGCTGTGGGAGCTGTGTGATCCAAACTCAGGCTGCAGCAGGCTCAGCCTCCCCCAGTTCCTCAGCCCTGGTCCCACACTCAGGGCTGGTCACCGTTGTCCAGGGCATTTCTTACAGTGGCTCACTGCCCAAAAGTGTTAAGATGCAAACTCTCACAGCTGGAGCAGCCAGAACTGTTGGGCAATGCAACATCTGGAGCTGCTGATGAA